AGTTGGTGGTGGGTGGTGATGACTAGCTGCCTTCCCTCTAAGTCTTACACTGCCAAATTAGGGATGGTTAGCGCAGATAGCCCTCGTGTAGCTTTGCACGAAATCCATAACAAACAAACAAACAAACCAGATTTGATATTGCACTTATCTCATGCACTGGCACAACATTGATTGTGAATAACACTACTATATTGTTCAAATATTACACCTAGCACACTAATATAAGTCACTAAAACTACTCTATAAATTCCTAATATTTACACTATATACCTTTTCTCCTGCTATGTATAGGCATTGGGGGCAGCATCTATGGGTCACTGGTATAGCCAAATATCAGCTGGGATTTCAAACAGTAGTGGGAAAACCTAAAACATCATATGATGTGTGGAGAATTTAAGTAGGAAGACATCATATGGTGCGCAAAGCAGTGAAAGGGTTAATGATCAAATCAATGCACACTAAGTAAAAAAAGGACAACAATATACTGCATGAATTAAAAATATTATAATTTACTAATCCAACACATATAACTAACATATCTATAAACAGTAGCTGATTATTATTATTATCCATCTCAAATGTAAAATGAATACTTGGAACTACTTTACTTAAATATGAATTTGTCAAATTCTAAATTATTCAGAGAGAGTAAATGTGTCAGCCACATATTTTGTCCAAAAATCCAATTTAATAGGAGAATTTAAAAACATTCTCTTTCCAAAGTTGTCCACATAATTGTTATGTGATATTGAAGACTATAAATTTTAATACTTGTAAATCCACAAGTTGTAACTAAATGAAATTTCATATTTTAATTATTGCTGTTTCTTTATACTTGTAATGATTTTGAGACATTTCTTCGTGAAGTTATATTTTAGATTAGTTATGAGATACTGATATATGATTAAGCAGTATAAATACATTGTTGCATCTTTTCCAATCTTTAGGGTAACCAGCTCAGCAAGTTTGGTTTCTGCAGTGAAACAACAGGGACTGTTGTGGTCAGATTGAATACTGTTCATCAACAGTCTCGGTAAGTTCAGTATAGCATGAATACACTACCAATTTCAGTATAGATTAAAAACAGTTCACAAGCGTTTGTTAAACAGTTACTAAGTAAAGTTTACTAGTTTGGTTAAGTGTAATAGCATTCAGTCAAGTCTACAGGTTTCTTGTAAGTTTAATATTTAATACTCATTCAATACAGACCACCAGTTTTAGTAAATTTAATACTGACTGAATACTTTACACCAGTTTCAATGATTATAGTACTCAGTGCACTGGGTTTAAGTTTAAAACCAATTGCATACAAGCTATCACTTTCACCAAGTTAAATACTAATTGAAATGCAGCCACCAATATCAGTAGATTAATTCAATAAACAAACTTGAAGTGTATTGAAACAAAGAAATGTTTCTGTCTTTGAGTTTGTGTGTTTTCTAAGGTTCAGTGTAATTAAAATGGTAAAATAAAACAACCTTAAAGAATAGAGTAAAAACATAAGTTATTATTTAGTTTTTATTACATGCAACGTTATTTTTTAGCATACTTGAAATTAAAATAATGAAATTATTTTTTTAATATGCTGTACTCTAAAATATATTTTTTCCATTCTACAAATAATCATCACTGTTTACAAAGAACAAGTCTTATTGTGTGTTAATATTTATGTATATCAACTGCTGTATCTTTCAGGAGTGTTCCTCTACCTGGTCAGTACAGCATTAATAATATTTTGGACACAACAGGGTTGGTATAATTTAGTTACTTTACATTAAATCAATCTTCTGGTTGAAAATATCTTCGTATATGAAGCTACTTTTCAAGATTATACTTCATAAAATGTGATATGTATGGGTTAGTTATTTCATTTGTGTAATATTATTGACATTTTTAGTTGAGATGCTACAATGATAACAGTATCTTGTGCAAAATGTGTCATGAATAGTTTTGTTATTTGGTGGTTATCATTTGTTTATCAATATGAATATCTTTTGTTGGGAAGCTGCTGTGCTAGTGATGTGTACATAAGATGTCTAGAGCTCATTGACTTGATTGAACTGCAGAAGAGTTATCTTAGATTTACATGATTTATATCATCAAAAATTATTAAGATATTTTTCAAACCTTCCTCTGCTATCAGGTGTCATCGCTTGTTTTCACCTTCCTCATAAATAAGATTCTTCCGCCCACCTTAAGTCTGTACCTATATTACAGTTATTGGTTTTGTGATGGTTGCTGAGATCACATGTTTTATCACTAGACTGTTTTGCCACTTTGTCTTTACATTTATATGCTTAAGTTGTTATCTCTATGTGTGTCAGCACTTAATGGAGCACTTCCTGTTATTTCTTTTGTTTCTTATTCTTCTTTTAACCTTTCTGAACATTTTATTTTTGTGAAATTAGCTGTCTGTTTCTAAATTTTGGCCATTTCTACACCTGTTTTTAAATTAAGCGGTATTGTTTGTTTTTTTAAACACCATTCTTCCTTTAATCTTTTCTATACATTTAGGTTTTTATCGGAGTTTGGAAGAATAGGATTGTTTAGGCTTCTTTTAATGATATTTCCTTTATGCCTTTTTTTTTCTCTCTCTCTCTCTCTCTTTGAAATCTGGCCAAAAATTAGGTGTTGTCTGGTGACCATGATTTTTTAGTTTTCCTCTTTGACTTAAAATTAGATTTAACTTTGATTTACTCTGACTTTATCAAAATAAGAAATTCTTGTTCAGTTTTTCTTAGTGGAGTTTCTCAGCATTGGTTATTTTTTTACAGGAATTCAACTTGGACAAAACACTAAAAGCAACTTTTGATTTGGGTTTTTCTAATTTTTTGCATCCTTTAGTTAAGTACCTTCATTTCTAGGTTTTTATTTTGTTTTGCTGTGTCATCAGTCTTTTCTCAATTCTTTTAATGTCTCATGTTGGTGTGTTTAGTTAAAAAAAAAGGCTTTTGCATGTGTATTTAAGTAGCTCATGGTTCCAGAGATCTGTCAAATATTTTATTTCTTGTAAATATTTACCCACTACTCTTTCAAATGTGTGTAGTCATTCTCACAGGAGCATTAAGGTTGTAAGAAAAATGCTCTTTCAGAATACATCTAGGTTTGAAATGGCCAATGAATATTATTCCATCCTCTGAACCTCTTCCATTCTTGCTTCCCATGGGGATTAGTTTGGACACCCATACATCATTAAGATCCTGTTGTCCAGATACTATTTTCATGACATTACTTCTGTTCCCTACTCCCCTTTTATGTCAGTTTTCTTTCTTCCTGTATTAGAAGTAAAACTCATTGCTACTCAGGTAATTTTAGTTTTCACTTCAGCAAATTACATTTGGAAACCCTTTACCTCTTTATTTCTTTCTGATGATATCAGTTACCCAAGTCACAAGTTAGTTTTCATCACAACCTGACTAGTATCAAGTTTTATGGTTGACCGTTGTCCAATTCTTTGTAGGATAATGAGTTGTTGTTTTTTTAACCCAATTATCAGACCATCAACCTTGAAGATCTCTTTTTCTTAGTATTTCATTATTGTGCAACTGCTCTATATCACATTTCATGTCTACTCAAATTCTTATTCCTTGTATTTGATGGTTTTCAGAATTTGTTTTGCTGACTCTTTCATTGTGGCCTTTCCTTCATTGACTTGTATTTTTTTCTGTCGGTTTTTAATACTTGAGTGATAATCCTTCTCTGCCAAATTTCAAAGAATATCTGATGTTTTGTAATGCTGTTTGTAAGTTGTGTGTGTCCCTTATGTCTAACACCTGAAAGTATGAAGGGTGATTCAATTTTATAGTTCACTTTTTATCAAGATATAAATACTTAATTGTATTTGAAATACAAAAAAAAAAAGATTTAAATGTTGGCAAGTTATTGCAGCCTTAATAATTTTAACATGGTAGAATGAGTTTTTAGTTTTAATTATAGTCACTCCAGATCATAAAAAATCTGAGATTTTCTTACATCTTTAATTAGCTTGTGTTCATAGTATCTTACATAAGATAAGAGTACAGTGCACGTTTTTTTAGAACAAATTAATATATTTTATATTGCTAAAATCATTTCTTATGTGTATTCAGGTCATCAATTCAGAACAGCATTACGGCAGTCATTGCAGCTTTTCAGCGAGCCAGACAACGTATGTTAGTAGCTCGAGGAAAACTAGATTGATTTTTAAAGAGTACTCTTTTCTCTGTATTTGTATATATATTTTATGAAGAAGATTAATAAATATTTATTGACTAGTTTTATGATATTGTTTATTTTTTCTATCATTATTTATAAAATAAAGTGTAAATGTTTCAGATTAAAATTATATCTGGTTAATTAAGAAAGACATACTTTTCATAGCACTTCATTCTAATGCATGTTTACGTGTCTTCTCAATTCTCTGAATATTGTGTATTGATTTTAAATTTCTGAACATTTGTAAAATGTACTGACACTCATTTACTGTGTTCTACTTTGCTTCTCTGTTTCATCAGCATGATGTGTTGAATAGCAATGTTATAGTAAATTGTAGAGACATGTTCTGGAAGTTTGTTTTTACTATCAACACCTTTCCTTGAATATTATGCTATGATTATGTTTTAAGACACTTGTATTAGCTTCAGGGACGTGCAAGTGTACCAAAACATCATCATAATGTAATATGCAAGGCAAGATGTCCTAGTAAGAACCTTCCAGATTATGTTCTCTTGCTAGCCATTTCTCTTAAACAGTATAGCTTTTGTGTTCTCTGTCATTTCAGTTTCATCAGCATTACATATATAGTTAAAAATTTCTGATGTGTTAATTAACTACCAGGTTACTGTAAAATGTTTAGATGTGGTGTTCTCTGTCATTTAAGTCCCATAAGTGTTACACGTGTAGTTTGAGAAATCAGAAATGCATGTTATTGGTTTATAAAGTGAGAAGTATGTAAACTTTATATTATTTGAATCTATGTAATTTTTTGAAGGTAGTTTCTAATTCTTCTTCTGGATATCAATTAATCCTTTCTTCAGCTATATTTACCTTTATATTGTTACAATTTTTTTATTAGTAGAAGAATTGCATTAATGGTGAAGCACCACGTGAAAGACTTAATTTGAACTTATTTCATTTTTTTCCATTAGCAACTCCCTTTGTGAGAATATAATCATCTGGTGACTAGCAGTGAAAATCTGCTAATGAGGTATCTTATTGGAAGAGGTTTGTTAAGGATTTAGTTTATTCTTTTACACATTAGGGTTGGACCTTTTGTGAGAATATAATCATCTGGTGACTAGCAGTGATAATCTACTAATGAGGTATCTTATTGGAAGAGGTTTGTTAAGGATTTAGTTTATTCTTTTACACATTAGGGTTGGACCTTTTGTGAAAATATAATCATCTGGTGACTAGCAGTGATAATCTACTAATGAGGTATCTTATTGGAAGAGGTTTGTTAAGGATTTAGTTTATTCTTTTACACATTAGGGTTGGACATTTTGTGAGAATATAATCATCTGGTGACTAGCAGTGAAAATCTACTAATGAGGTACCTTATTGGAAGAGGTTTGTTAAGGATATAGTTTATTCTTTTAGACATTAGGGTTGGACCTTTTGTGAGAATATATTCATCTGGTGACTAGCAGTGAAAATCTGCTAATGAGGTATCTTATTGGAAGAGGTTTGTTAAGGATTTAGTTTATTCTTTTACACATTAGGGTTGGACCTTTTGTGGGAATATAATCATCTGGTGTCTTACACTAACAATCTATTGATGAATTGTCCTGTTGCAAGAAGTTTATTTTGGACATGACTTAATCTTTTTTTTATACTTATGTGCAAACAGATTCATCATATTACGTGAAGTATCTGGATAAAATAATTGGGCAATCCTTTCCATGTTTTCAATTTTAATGAGGTCTCATCTGTTTAGTGCCCCTAAACTTTGCTGTGACAGTCCCATTCTGTTTGGTAGTTGTTAGAGCTGTCTGTGGAAGGTTGCTCTTAGGAACTTCCATCTGATGTGATAATCCAATACTGTTTGATAAGGTGACCATTATTGCTTGAGAGCTGTTGTGGCTATCTATTGGGAGTTGCTTAAGGCTGTTAAAACTGGTCCTTTTAGATGTCCAGTAACATAAATAGTTCATTGTTCACAACTCCATCTATTCACCTTGTAATTTATTTCATACTGTGACTGATATGCCTCCCATGGTACTTTCTTGTTATAGTCTGTAGTTTTCTCAATTGGGTGATGCTGTTAACTTACGTACAAAATTTCGTAACTTTATTTGGCAGTGGTATAACTGGAGTAGTCAAAAAGGTGTTACAGCCATAGTTGCACAGCAGTAATGGTAACAGGTGTTGGCCAAATGTGTTCTCCTGTTCCATATTGCACAGAGATTATGTTTTAGGTTGGAATTCTTGAGCAGATGTAAAGAGAATTATGGCCGGTTTGATCCTTTCAAATGGTAATTTAGTTTCTAGATATCATAATGTTGATATCACATCGTATATATCCTATAACCTCCTCAATCTAGGTGCTATAGTTCTTTTCTACTTCGATGGTATGCTTTTGTACTTCAATATTTATCAGGTCATCCCATAAGTTCTGTCCGGATTTTAAATAAAGAAAATAAAGTGATCAAATCTTACATTTTTATTGAAATTTAATCATCAATGTAGTTTCCATGATTATCTATGACTTCTTTCCATC